GAGGCAGACAGTCAGCTGGACTGGAAATCGTTTGGCAGCATAACACCAAAAACGGCAAATAACTTTGGCCACATAGGCAATAACACTGAGACGGGCCAATTCACGAGCCACTTGGGGGCACCATTCAAAATCAGATTATAATCTATTATTACTCCTATAAGGTCAAATTTGTTGCACAGACTGTTGCTAAGAGTTTGGTAATTACAACGTAAAATCAACATAGCCTGGCTCATATTTAGCACATGCCATTGATTTATGCCAAATAATTTGAATAATTAATTCGTTCAGCTTGAACCACATTCACATTCAGCCGTGTAAGTTATCCTCCATCTAGTCGCTGTCGGTGCCGTTGAGTGGATCAGCATCAAATGCGACTAATGATATGCAGAGCCACAGGCACGTGAACTGAAGTTTCTGATGGGCACACACTTACCCACTTACACGCTCACACATATACACACACATACAACTTCAAATTACATCCTCTAATGTATGTTTGAGCCCCAAGACTAGATGTGTGGGTATTCAGTTCTTAGTGGCAAAAACCATTTGTGAAAAAGTTTTGGGAGATAAAAACAATACTCAAAATACCTTAAAGTTGAGACAAAGCTAATACATAAGATAATTGGCAAAAGAAGTCTCATTACTCTTAAGAATTTTGTATCTTTAAATTCTCTTTGCATTCGAATATCTCATTTTATTTAATGCCTAATCATTTATTTTATTTTTATTTTTATTTTTGCTACTTTTCTGATTTTTATTCATATTTGGAATACTATCTCTACTGAAAACTTAAGTAAATTGTTGGCTCATGGCTATTTCAGCAAACTTTCCTACCGAATATCGCTGAAAATTGGAAATATCAAAGTACCACTCTCTATTTTAATTAATTCAAAATTTAAGAACAATCCATTTAGTTAAATTATTTTTGCTAAGACTTTGTCACTTTTCCTTTTTCCCCTATGCTCTAATTTGCCACACTTATTAATTGGGTAATTAGTTAGAATACTAAAGTCAACACGCAACAAATCTGATAATCTTATATAAGGTGACAAGGAGAAAACTTTCTACCTAAAAGTAAAAAGCATTCAGTCACCCAATATCGTAAGTTAAGCAAACTTCAAAACAATTTAAAGCCTGCAATGCTGTGAAGCGAATCCGGTGTTGTAACAATGCTTACTAAATTCAAAGAAGGACGTGCTGGTCCTGCGCCAAGACTTTGATATTTGCCCGCACAATTTCGCAATTTCAGGGACAGACAAAGCGCAGCTAAGCGAAACTTTAATCAACTGTCAATAATTGATGATAATCACGGCGCAGCGTAATATTGCTTATCAACAGATACAACACCAACATCCGCAACAGCCAACAACGACAAACGGCAGCGGCAAAGACAGAACCACCAGTGATTAACTTAATAAACGGTGGAATGTGGGCGGGACACGGAGTGCAAAAAACACAGGCAACCAAAACAAATCGAGAGACGAGCAAACAAACAAATCAAACGACAAGTGGAAAACATACACAACGTGAAATGCGTAATATAAACACAGAGATTATACGACTGTGATATACCCCATCTGAGAAATGAATTAATGTCACTTAACGTTCAGGTACAGCTAATTTACTTATCATTAAAAGACACCGAAGTCTGTAAGTATTTAAGGTAACAACTAACACTGTCAATGCATATTACTTTTGAGGAACATAAAACTAATTGGGAATTGCATGCATCGATGCAGTAGAGCTATTAAAAATGGTTGTTCATATTAGATTAGAACTACCAGTTAACAACAGCTACTATCCAATAAGCATACCCAATTGGAACAACAAAATAATAATAAAATAAAATAAAAATAATAATATTAGAACAAAATTAATGTAATAGCATACGGGCCAGACGCAGAGGTCTGGTATTTGGTAGGATTTCGATGGCTTATCATAGGGGTCACGGATGCAACCAGCGATTATTATCGCACTTGTCTTATCAATATAATTTTTGTCTATAAATAAACAGAAATCAACACAACAAGGTATATTTAGTAACAGGCCACTGACTTGTTTTTTTTTATATATATTTACATTTCTATTTTTTTTTTTTGTTTTTGTTTAGCTTATAACGCAGCAAGGCAATAAACGTAATATGAGCTGTATAAGACCGCAACAAATAATGATGATGCTGCTCCTCCTCCTCTTCAGCGGACGTGTCCTGCAACCGTGATCCGTGAGGCGTTATTAAAACGGCAGCGTCAGCCCTTTTTTAGCTCCCTGGTGTAGATTATAATGATAAGCACTAAGCCACTGGCATGCAAATTGCTTGTAGGCGGCATTAAATTTAACAGCGACGTGTGCACACATATACGCATCAACACATATGAAACAAACAAGCAGACACTTACACACACACACACACACCCGCACACACACCCGCACACACACTCGAAAAGCTTATGCAAAACTGTTCTGAGGCTAATTCAATTTTCAAGCTGACTCCATCAAATTGTTTTTGTTCCCTCTCTATATTTATCAACTTTTTTAGTTCATGACATTGACACAATAGCCAACAATTCTACCTTTCCCCAGACTCTCGTTGGATGTGTTAACGTGTGTGCGTTTGTATGTGTATATGTATGTGTGTGTATGTGTGTGTGTGTGTGTGCCACTTGATTGCTCGGCGAGCCGTTAAGCAGCTGACATGGCCCTTCAACCGCACCTTGTTCGACTTGAACTACGGCTTTAGGCTCTTGGCAACAGGTGGCAAGTTGTTGCTGTTGTTTTTTGTTTTTGCCATTTTCTGCTGCCACTTGATAAAATGTTTATTTGTATTTTCTTATTGAAATGTTTTTCTATTTTATGCAAAATTTTCAATTTCATTTTTGACACTTTGATCTGTCACAGATCGAATTTGAAACAGCCGTGCAAAATTGGCTACAAAATTGTCTGCTTTAACTGTGTAAAATGTGAATAACTTTGTAACGATTTGTAAAACGTATTGGCTTACTTGAATAATAAATAATAGGCTAAATAAATTCTAACCACTCCATTTTATTTTAAACACTATATGTAAATAAAATTAGAAAAGTTTAATATTTAAGAGGGTTTATTTAAATCATAACATATTAAGGCACTCTTTCATACGCTCGCAAAAAAACGGAAAATGTAGAAACTGTTAATTATTTGTTATTGAATCGTAAAACTTTTGGTATCCACAAACTAGAGAAATATGTTAAATATTATTTTCGCTGGCTTTTTTTTCTTATTTTTTAAATAGAATACTTCGAAATATATTTCCAATCCGGTCTGTATTCATCATTAGTGAAATATTCACAGCTGACTAGAAAAGCTTTGCAGTTTGAACAAAAATGAATATAAAATTCATTCGAATTGAAAAGATACTTGTAATTGTTTGGTTTAGATTTAAAAAAAAAAGGTTATGCTTCTCACAAATAATCTAATTATCCATCATAATCAACTTAATTTTCAAGTTTGAATATTGTTTTCAGATTGAAATGCAAAACAGGAATGAATATTTGAATTTTCAATAGAATTACCTCCTTGCATACATCCAAATTTTGTTAATACAATAGTCGCATCGTTAGCTGGGCAATGACCGGAAACGTGATATATCTGAGCCTACATTGATTAATTTTGAATGTCACGGGAGCCGTTTCTTTTTCGCTTTTGCGCCTAAATAACCTACTTTAACTTTTACGAGGCGATTGGCCAAACTTTTGCAGTGCTCGGCACATAAAACAGCTTGGAGCAGGCCATCTATCAGACATAAAAATGTGGCTGAAACGGGGCTGGGCAAATGCAGCTAACATTCGCATAGACATACAATAAGTGAATGGCATTTCATAAATAGTTTTATGCAGGGCATAAAATAATGCTGCATAAAAGCCGCAATCAGTCGGCCCATAAACTTGCGAGTGTACAGATTTCTGCTCTTTAAAGAGCATTCCGAAAATAATTTCAAACGTTTATATATTTTTTCGTTTGCTGCTGAGCCGCATTCCGTATTATTTATGCAAATGAGGACATGCCATGGAAGTCCTTTCATTTTTATTGTTTTCACCACACCAAAAAGCGTTTCAGCATTGATTTTTCTTCTTTTTTTTTTAAAGCAGCAGCAGCAAAACAAAACAAATAACACAGGAACAGCAACAACCAAATGAATAAAAAGGATAAATAAAATAAAATAAAATAAAATAAGAAACTGAGCGAACAAAGTGAAACAAATAATAAAAATACGTTGAAAGTTTTATATGATTTTGCCTACACATTTTTTTACGCCTTAGCAGGAATGTAAGTTGGCGTGACAAAGGACGAAAGGGTTCTTGCAGCAAGCTTGACTGAATTTTATATATGCAGGCTTAGGCACGGAATTCAACTTTAACACCATTCCTTTTGCCTGCCAAACAGGATCTGTAAATAATATATGTATATGATGTGGTGAAAATAAGGCGCACCAAATTTATTGCAATTTGTTTGAGTAGAAAATAGTGTGAATACAGAAGAAGTATTTCAGTTAAGGCCAAGGTGCTCGTATGTAATCCCATGAAGGGAACAACATCATCATGTAACTTGCATTTAAATGGAAAGTAGTACAACTCTCGCATTACAGGTAAGTTTTTCTTTTTCAAGATTAGCAAAAACCTAATTCGATATACGCATTTTCTATCCGTTAATCTTCTGTAAAATTGGTATACTTCGATTCCAAAAGCATATGTTAATTTTCTAATTTAATATAAATAAAATAATATTTTTGTATAATCAAATGAAATTATACAGTTTTTACACAGCTAGATGTTAAGTTTGATAACAATTTTCAACCAAACCCGCATTAGAGAAAGGTTTTAAATGCCACAATGGCATAGAATGTTCAAGTATGCATCTAATATGAATAATCCGATTGAGGGACACTGCAGAAGGATATGTGCATCCACAAAGTATTTAGAGCTCACATGTGTAAGCCATCAAAATGTTTTCAAAATACTCACCTCCACAATTGCGATGAAAACTTGTTGATGAGGGGCGGATGGGGAAAGCAGGCGACAACAATGGTTCACAGGTATTTTTTCTGTTTTGGGCTGCTTTAAGGTTTTTTAATGTTTAATATGTGTCACGCTTGGAAAATTCGATATCATCCGCCGCATGTCACATGGGACACATGAAGATGCATATAAGCGACTTTAATGTATATTTGGTTTTTTATTTATGACATTTAATTTTATTTTTATGTACTTTGATTTCCATTACGCAAAGGAGATTTGCCGCCGTGTTGTAAAACTGCTGGGAATTGGTCGTAAGCAATATATACATATATATATATATACATATGTAAAAGCCTTGTACAATAAATGTATTAAAACGACCCGTCGTCGCTTATATGTAATTTTATTTCATTTGATTTGATTTCGTTTCGTTTTTGGTTTCGGCTTTGGGTTTACTTTGTGTTTTTTATTCGCTTCGCTCAATTTGCACGTGTGCTTCGTTATAATTTTTGTAGGCGTGACGCCAAAGTTACTCAGCATAACGAATAAATAAAATGAATCGCGGCAGACGAGGCATCTCTCGCGTATAAAGAAATTTTGGTTTTTATTTGCTGTTTAATGCCGCACCGTGCGACTTGAATCAAAAATTCTCGAGCGCTCTTCAATTAAATTGCGTGAAAAATTGATGCGCTCGACGTCGTCCCGGCCGCTGCCCCTATTGGGCACCATTTATGTCCTTTGCCACTTGCTTGTGTCTGCTGCCAGTTTGTAATGAATTTAAATGAGCCACCGTCGGCTGCTGAGGTATTTTCATTATTTTCAATATTTTATTTACTTGTGACGTTTCTAACGCGCTGTAATTAATTATTTTAACTGGTCGGCAATCAAATTATGATTATGGTTTCAGACGCTTTCAATGTTTCAACACCCAAAAATTTTCAAATCCAATTTAAATTCGTTATCTAAGCAGATTAGTGGGTGCAAATTGTCAAGCAAAATATATCAAATCAAAATACGAGTATTCTATTGAAACTTGAACAAAATTAAAGCGTTATATATTTTTTATTTAAGCGATATGTCAAAGATATATTTATTGTAATTATTTACTTTTTTTATTGATTGAGTCTATTAAAGGGTTTAGACTTTAAATATTTTAATTTTTTTTTATGAGTATTAATTTTTAAATTTTAAATAATGTTGAGTTATTTAATGCTCTTATTAAAATGTTGTCCTCTTTGTATTATAATATTTGTTAATCATTTTGAAAAATTAAATATATCGTTATGATTTGTGCTTCAGCAAGCCACAATATTTTATTTAGTTAAATAACAGAACTTTTTAAAGCTTTTAGTAAAAGCAAAAAAAAGCAAATTTGAATTATATTGGAAACTATTTGTATTTTTTACACAAATAAGTAAGTCATCATTTTGTTTACTTAATTGAAATGAGTTCAAATTTGCCCAATTAACAAATATATGAAAATCTTTGTATCTGAAACATTCAATTTACAATACTTTTTGTCACTTTTGTTAAGAGTAAATTGCCGTTAGAAAATCCGCGAGGACGACCACACGCCGCGAACTGCGACTAGTAAATGACAACGCTGCCACTTGTAATAGTTTAGTTTGTGTCTAGATATTCTAACGGTATTAATGGTGACGGTGACTGCGACTACGACGCACACTTTCAATATTGTCGAGCTCGAAATGAAACGAAAACGTAAAATGACAAATAAGGATGTGGCAGCACCACCAGGAGCAGCACAAGGAGCAAAAGCGAAACCGCACGCGACGTGCAACAGCCGCCTACTGATGGGTTTATATCTGCCAAAAGCAGTAGCAAGTGCTCACCCATACAACCACAAACACAGCCGCACACACAGATACACACACCCAAACACACACAAGCGTTGCCTCTTTGTTGATAACAGTTTTCGAAATTCGAAATTCGCCGTCAGCTGCTGCTGTTGCTGCGCCTGCTGAAGATGAAGGCGGGCCATGCTGTGTGACCCACAACAGAGGCAGAGCATAAAACAACAACAACAACAGGAACAGGAACAGTAGTAAGGGACTAGTTTTAGCATGTTGCATATGCCACACAATTCTCAGTGCTCGTCCATGTCCTCGTCCTCAACCTCGGTACTCTTATTCGGTAGCCGCCTGAGAACAGTTGACGCATGCGCCGATAAGTAGGCAACAATTCATAATGACAACGTCGCTATCAACGACTCGCAAGTTGGCGCCTCTTTTGGGCCCTGTGTTCAGGTTTACTGTTTTCATTCCCTGTAATCCTGTATGGCTCATTGGGCATTTCAGAACTTAAGCAAATATGTAATCATATAGTATATAAGTAATATGTACTTTCAAATATTTATTAATAAATTTGATTATGGATTATTAATATTTAAGATTTGTTTTTATGTTTATTCAAGTTGATTTACTTATTGCGGAATGCACTTTAACTTATACAAGTTATAATATATTGTGCAGATTATAATAATCTTTTCATCTTATTTCATTGTATAAAACTAATTAAACAGTCATGTTTCATTTCAAATCGCTTCACGCTTTTAATAACTTTTTAAATGTACTTTGACCCTGTACTTTTATAATTTCTTAGAGGGTATTTCTATGTCAAACGTTAACATATTTGTCGAACTCTTGGCTGTTTCTTATGGTTTTTCTTTTTTTTTGCCACCACATTGGCTTATTATCTTTATTGTCGTACAATATTCGGATGCCTGTGAATGAAATTAGTCAGCCAGCCAGGCAGCACTTGACTTTGCCACCGGTCTCAAGTTCACGTGCCGCTGGGCCACTAATGAATTATGGCAAAGTTATTAATGAAGCTCTTAGTGGCGTGGCAATGTCATAGACCGCTTCAGCTGACCCAGTTGTAGAGTGAATTCAAATATAGCACAGCGATTAGATAGGCCTGAAGTATGAATGGTGCTTTTGATGCTATAAATAATAACATTTGGAGAGCATGGCCATAGATTTTGGCATCAGAAAATATAAAAATATGTATATAAATATATCAAAAATACTTTTAATAATAATAATTTTAAATAGAGTATATATAATATTAACTAACAAAATATTTAAAAGTCTTTAAAGAAGTATTAATGTTTGACATATATTCGTAAGCTATTAATTTGCTGAGTACTCTAAAAAAAACTCTGAAAAAAATTAGATCATTCAAATAATTCAATTCTAAAAAGTATAAAATGTTAAAAATGTTATTTTTTAATAGCCTAATTAATCTTAGCTTCATTTTATTCATAGTTTTTTTTCGATTTGTTACTTGACTGCGCATTTTAATTCTGGGAATTATTCTTAAATTTAGCTGAGTGAAAATTTAAGGCAAAACAAAGTTGCGAAAATGATGCAACGGATGTTTATTGTGTGTGTGTGTGTGTGTTGACCATTTGGTGAGGGTTTTAATGTATGCATAACGACCATTGCGATAACCACAAATGTTTCAACGCAAATGCCACAACTTGGATAAGCAGTGAAATTTTGAGAAAATCGGAAATTGAAAAACCAAAAGCAACACTAAAAACTAAAAACGCATGTGACCTAAATACAATTCACAAAAATAGCAGCCCTCACCCTAAAAGCGGGTTTAGTTCTATTGAGTCTGTTATCAATTGCCTTGGCAAGGACACAACAAAACAGCATCCGCAGCAGCAGTCGCATCAAGCACACACACACACATAAATATATATGGATCTATGCTGAAACATTAAAAGCAGTTACGGAAAAGCGCGCGAAAAATGGCATTTGACCTTGTGTGTCGTCCAGAATGTCAATTATATATGCTTGTATAGAGTTATTAGGGCTGATCTTGTGATACTCCTGTAAATTTCGGTATTAGTTTAAAATATGATATTTTTTGCATCTGTCATCTCTTAATCGTTTGTTATTTTGCGAGCTGTTAGATATAGTTTCAGATCGGTCTTACTTTCTGCAGTAAATATACAAATATAAATGCAAATATCATCAAGAAAGCTACAAAATTTGACTTTGTAGAAGCAGATAGACGTAATGTAATAACAGACCATGGTTATAAAGCTGAGATCATAAAAGATTAATCTATATAGCCATGCATTAATCCAAAGAGAATAAAGATAATAATTGTACAAGGTATAAAAATGTTAATGATTATTCATTTTTGTACAATGTACTTGTACAAGGTACAAAAATGTTAATGATTATTCATTTTCAAGAAATTTAAAAAATTCAAATCTAAAGGACTTCGAATTTGCATGTGTGCTTCACATTTGCGAGTCGTGTTCTGTGAGAAAATGAATGAGACGTGAACATCTCTAATTGTGACTGATGCAGGGGTGGTGGCAGATTTCAGTTTCGACCTGGCCGCCGGCTGGCAGGACAACAAATTGAGTGATGCATTTTAATAATGACTGTGCGGAATTCCAAGCTGCTGTCACTCAGGTAACAATTGACAAATTGTTTTGGCGCAAATTGAATGAATGCAGGCAGCATGAATCAAATACATACAAAAAAGTGAAGAAAATGCATCTGAATGTAATGAACTAAGATGGAAGCATTTAAAAGTGACAATATTACTGACCTATTTATCAAGTTTCACTTCTACTCACGCTTTTCCCATTAAGCACTCAAGTTGCAAATCAATTGGAGTCTTTTGTCTTTTTGTTTCCCATTAATGAAAAAATGGACCAGAGCTCAGCTTAAATTGAGAATTGCGTGTTTGTCCTGGTACTTAATTGAGGTTAATAGACGGAGCGCCACAAATGACATTAAATTGTTTTTATAGAGCAAGGTTATTATGGACACTTTTGAATTATGAGCTCTTATGCGAAACTGCAAGGTGAAATGTGACGCAATCAATAAAAATATGAGACGATTAAGTAATGGGAAGCCAAAATTAGGTTTGGTCAGTTAGAGAAAATTATAATACACTTAAATGTAAAGTTTTACTTTTTTTGAAATAAGAACATCAAATTGTTACCTGGTTTACTTTTTTAAATATATTTAAAGACTGCGCGCTTTTTGCAACATGTCTCAGGCTGACTGCTACAAAATAATACAAAGCATAAGGTGGCAACGCTACAGTCCAGGGCAGTAAAACATTCAGTAACCAAAAATACTGTACAAATTTAGCATGTAGTTAGCCATCTGTGTAACACACATAAATATGATTAGGATAAAATTGTATGAAAGTTCTATTTGAAACCGCTCGACTCAACACAACTCGATATAGCATATGATATCGTTGGCCTTTATCGATATCGTGCGAGCAGCCGCTGGTCGACAATTTAAATGACTGAACAACACTGCCCGCCAGTTGTTTGTTTTGTTTGTACCTGCCAACAACGACGACGGCTGCAAGGTGAATGAGTTTTTGCGTGAAATAATCTAAGTTAACAGCTGCGCGATTGGCATTATATTATGCCTACACACACACACACGCACAGGCAGACAAAACACATTCGTTATCGCTATCAGCATATTGAACATTGGCGCCAATGCCGACGCCGGCTGCCCTCGGCGCCAATGCATAAATTTTTTTTTGCACCAGCGCTAAAAAGTGATAAAAGTGAAACATAAACAAAAAAAAAAGCGTTGATAAGCCGATGCGCTGCCGCTGCTTACTATCAATGCGCCGGTTGTTATATGCTACACACATATACATAGAGATTCCTTCGTGTCGTGTCGCGCCTGCAACAACAAATTATTATCAAGTTAAACTTGTTGAGCGAGTTAAACGCCAAAGAAACTACCAACAATGGTGAAAATTTTAATGCTCTGCCCGCGCACATCGGCGACAGCGACGCAGCCACTGACCTTTATTTGACTTTTAGCTGTCTACTGCCTGCCTGCTGCTGCTGCCTGCCTGCCTGCCTGAAAAAAAAGAGACATTGCCACAAGCAGAGACGTTGCTGCGCTGCTTGGGCTTCTGCTCCTATTCTCGTTGTTGTTGTTGGAGTTTCTTGCAGTCGCTGCGACGCCGGCAGCAGCACCCAAAGGCAGCGGCGCAGCCTGAGCCCGAATATTTATACACGCATATACACAATTGTATTTGTGTAGGTAGCAATATTCTCGTTGCGCGTGCAAGAGTCGCCACCGCTGCCTCCTCGTTGCTGCTGCTGCCGAAATTAAAATTAATTCAATAAAAGCGTAAGAGAATTATTGAACATGTGCCAAACGACGAGCAATTGAAAATTATCTTTCAGTGTCGAATCTTTAGCTAAAAATGCACTTTCTTCTTCTTCAACTTTTACTTTCGAGCGCTTTACAACATGATAATTAACTTTTGTCACATACTTAATTATTGTTAAACAATTTTCAAGTGACCAAATTCGAAAAGGGCAACCTTTCCCCACACACGGAAAATATAAATGTGTGTGTGTGAGCGTGTGTATGTGTATGTGTGCGCGTTGATCAAACTAGCTCCAGTTTCCATAGAAAACCGAGAAGAGAAGTGTGAAAGGAGCACGTTGAAATTATATGAATGAATTGCATAAATCACAAGATATATGAGTGAATTTTTGAGAAAACCCTTCAAACTCTACTTTTCTAAATAACAAATAAAAGAAGTAAGAATACGCAGAAAATGGAGGCTGTTCAATGAAATGATATCAATATATCAACAAAATACCGACAAATTTAATTTACAAGAGCTGAATTATAACTAAATCGATTGGTTGTGAATAAAATATGAATTTACATAATGTGTGGAAAATATTAAATATGCCGAAAACATTTGTGGAGCAACGTGAATTTTATATTCCCTATTAATATTTGAAAAATGAAAATTCAATTCAGGATTTAAGGGAATGTGAATTTATTTTGTAAAACATTTTATTAGTTAAAAAAAAGAAGAAACTTCTTCGCAAATATAACAATAATTGTTAAAGAATTAATTAAGAGCTCCCCAGAATGGTTTTCAATGTTAAATTAATCAATAAAAATTTAAAAAAAGTTAGTTTAAATTAGAGCTCGTGTCATGTCAAAAATACCGTCACGCGTAGGTCAAAATGTAAATTGGTTGATCGTAAAACATGTAAATTATTTGCGCTTAATTAAGTCGATAGAATTGGACCTGCTATGTAATATATATATATATATATATATATATATCAATTGGAGTTTTATATAATCGCATGTACAGTTGGATAAATAATATTTATACTAATGATTTTTCATTTGAGCTTCCATTTCCAACATTTTCGATTTTGAGAAAAAATATCGTTTCTTATGAGACATAATGAAAATTGTCTAAGGACATAAATACAAATACAAATTTTGAAGATGGAAAAATGGGCTTACCAAATTGTAATTATTTGAAAACCGGAAAACAGTTGCCACGTTTCAAACGACAGCTGAAGTGATAATAAAAAATATATATATATATATATATTTAATATTCCATCCGAAAGAGTTATTTATGATTTGTATTTGTGATTTCCTTTTATATATAATATACATTTGTCTTCAAATAAATGCTTTCTATGATTATAAGGTGCACATTTTTGTTCGAGTGAGGTTACATAATTTTCACAATATCAACGCTTAATATTTTTACAAATCGATAGGGCTTGTTTTTAAATAGACTATATATATACATATATATGTGAATATATGTGCAGAAATATATGTGTATATATATATTTGTATATATTTTGCAATTGCCATAAAAAGTATTGTGCCATAATTTCGCCGTATAAACATATATGTGTACAAAAATTGGCATTGCCAGCGCTTTTCTTCGCTCATTTCCTACTCAACTAAATATAGACGAACCCAACTTATGGGCGACAAATGCAAAGCGAAGTCGTCGCTTTTGAGTGTCAGGGCCATTGCCACATGCGGCGAGCAGCGAACGGCGATCGACTATCGTCGAGCGTTGTTATCAACAGCAGCATCAACATCAACATCGAGCTCTCAACTGATAGTCGGTTGCTATCAGTTGAGAGCTCGATGTTGATGTTGATGCTGCTGTTCAAGATGATGCAACGTGAGCAGCCGGTTTTGCTGATGACGCTCTCCAGTAGCGCCAGCTTACAATTTAACAGTTAAGCGAGTGTAATCTGGGTCAGCCGGCAGCTAAAAATAGTTGCGATTATCAATCAGTTCGTTTCGATTGAGCGGACTGCGAGGTTGTCCAGCTTCACGATGCTGCGTCGTCAAATGTCGTATCGCTTTGAAGATCAAGATGCTTCGTCTATGGCCGTGCGGGTTGGGTGCAACACAATTCAAGCCACAGTTTTTTTTTTTTCTAAATTGCCGTGCTAATCGCTAATTGTGTATTTGTTTGTATTCTTTTTAATGCAGATGAATCGACGATTTTCACGCGTGGAGTCCGGCGCGGACCTGAAGGATTATTTCGATCGCGGCGATATTGCATCGCGCGAGAATCGCTGGAACTTTGAGGTCGCATGGGAGGTGGCCAACAAAGTGGGCGGCATTTATACGGTGATCCGGTCGAAGGCCTATGTCTCCACCGAGGAGATGGGCGAGCAGCTGTGCATGATGGGTCCCTACAAGGAGGCGTGTGCCCGCACCGAAATGGAGGAAATGGAATTTCCACGCGGCAATCCGTTGCTCGATGCTGTCAACACGATGCGTTCGCGAGGCTACAAAATTCACACTGGTCGCTGGCTTGTCGATGGCAATCCGCAGCTGATATTGTTTGACATTGGCTCAGCCGCCTGGAAGCTGGATCAGTTCAAGTCGGAGATGTGGGACAAGTGCCACATTGGCATACCACATATGGATATTGAGACAAACGATGCCATTATATTGGGCTTTATGATTGCCGAGTTCCTAGAGGAGTTTCGCAACTGTGCCGATGGCTACTCGCAACGCAATGATCTCAGTGCACCGCGGATCGTTGCCCACTTTCACGAGTGGCAGGCTGGTGTGGCACTCATAGTGCTGCGCACCCGTCAAATCGAGATTGCCACCGTGTTCACCACGCATGCGACGCTCCTCGGTCGCTATCTGTGCGCCGGCAACACCGATTTCTACAACAATCTCGATAAATTCGCTGTGGACGAGGAGGCTGGCAAGCGTCAGATCTATCATCGCTATTGCCTCGAGCGTGGCGCCACACATCTGGCGCATGTCTTCACCACCGTATCGGAGATCACGGGCTACGAGGCGGAGCACCTGCTCAAACGCAAACCGGACATCATAACGCCAAACGGCCTGAACGTGAAGAAGTTCTCGGCCATTCATGAGTTCCAGAATTTGCATGCCGTTGCCAAGGAGAAAATCAATGAGTTTGTACGCGGCCATTTCTATGGGTAAGTGTTTTACCTAAAGGTGGAACTATTTTTTCATAGTTCCACTGTGAATGCTTTTCAAATTTTGTGAATTAACTTATTTAACTAGCCAACTTACCAACACTAATACTCCTCTGCAGCCATATGGACTTCGATCTGGACAAGACGCTGTACTTCTTCATTGCCGGCCGTTATGAGTTTGGCAACAAGGGCGCTGATATATTCATCGAATCGCTGGCCCGCCTCAATGCGATGCTGAAGCACGAGCGTCCCGACACCACGGTGGTGGCCTTCCTCATTTTCCCCACTAAGACGAATAACTTCAATGTGGACTCGCTGCGTGGCCATGCGGTCATCAAGCAGCTGCGCGACACCATCACCAATGTGCAGCAGGCGGTTGGCAAGCGCATGTTCGATACATGCGTCAAGGGCCACATACCCAGTCCCGATGAGCTGCTCCAAAAGGATGATCTGGTGAAGATCAAGCGCTGTATGTTTGCCATGCAACGCGATACAATGCCACCGGTTACCACCCACAATGTGTCAGATGATTGGAATGATCCGGTCCTATCGGCGATTCGTCGCTGTAATTTGTTCAATTCGGTGCACGATCGCGTAAAAATGGTCTTCCACCCGGAGTTCTTGACTTCAACGAATCCGTTGTTTGGCATCGATTACGAGGAGTTTGTCCGTGGCTGCCATTTGGGTGTGTTCCCATCGTACTACGAACCATGGGGCTATACACCGGCCGAGTGCACCGTCATGGGCATACCAAGTGTGACCACAAATCTGTCGGGATTCGGTTGTTTCATGCAGGAGCACATCAGTGATCCCAAATCCTATGGCATCTACATTGTCGATCGCCGCTACATTGGCCTGGAGAACAGCGTCCAACAGCTGTCCAGCTTCATGATGGAGTTCTCGCGTCTGAATCGCCGCCAGCGCATCATTCAGCGCAATCGCACCGAGCGCCTCAGCGATTTGCTGGACTGGCGTACGCTGGGCATTGTACGTATTATTGACCCAATACATCTTTAGCTTAAAACGTTATTTATCTGTGCAATTTATTTTTATCCTACAGTACTACAGACAGGCTAGGGTGAAGGCCTTGCAGGCCGTCTATCCCGACTATGTGGACGAGACCTCCACGTACGGTTCTCGCAGCAATTTGCTGTTCTCACGTCCACAGAGTGAGCCATCAAGTCCCACGTCGTCACGTAAGTTCCACTAATGAAACAATAATCTTTATTGAACCCTGTTTACTTAAACACTATATACATATTTATGTATATATATAGTATTTTTTTTAATTATGTTAAACACAGCTGTAGCTTATCACATAAATCAGCTGGTTCACTTCAAATCAGTATTATTTACGAGCATAAACTTAGCAATATTTATATGACTTAAATGCGTTCGATTTGACTTTCAACAGTCATTGAGTTGTAATTAGAAATGTTCAATAAAGATTACATATTAACTCAATTACATGCGATCAGATATTAAACACTTTTTACACAGAGAAATTTTAAATTATTTCTTCACCGTGTTTTTTTCTTTTTCTCACAGGCCACACTACGCCAGCGCCCTCGGTGCACGGCTCCGATGACGAGGAGGACTCTGTAGATGAGGAAACTGAGTTGAAAGAATTGGGTATTAAGTAAATCAGCAACCCATTGACATCCCTGGCTTTACGAACACTTCATACAGCGCAATATTACCATAAGTTTAGTAATTTTGTTTCATATGTTCAAAGGGCACGCAGTCAACAAATTGGTAACGCCCACAAAGAAACTATCTACCTTATTCTGAAACTGTTTTCAAAAACAAATTTATATGCTCATATGCAACAGTTAGAACAATTTGAGTATATTTGCATAATGGAAAATTCTATTTCATGTTGTTTAGTCTATAAGCAGAGCAAATTCCCTTACACCGAACACAAATTAACAAAACAACAAAAAAAAACACATATGTTATTCAATCAAATTAAATTATTATTATTTACTATGGTACAAACAAATCTGCCACACTAAATGACCTTATCAAAACAACAGCATATAATTAGAATGCTCATTCGCAATTAGTTCTTTATTAAATATTTACCCAACAATGCGAAGAATATGGCATATATTCTATAGCTAATCAGGTAACTGTAAAAGTTACACGCACTATGTTCAAAATAACATATATTTGTTTGTGTATATGACAAAATGAAAAAGTTAGTAAACCCCCTCAAGGTAATCCAATCAATGTAGCAACGCCCAAAATGTATCGTTAAATATACTGCCTCATATTGATTAATCAACGTTTAAATATAATATTCTATTAGCCAGTTACCAATGCTACTTTATATGGTCTATGTGCTTTTTATTGTTATTAGCTTGTCATAAATCGATGCATTACTGACGTCATTCTTGACCAAGACACCGGACGAAGAAGTTATTCATTCAGTTCAAGAATTATAAAATGCAGGTAAGAAAATTATTAAATTACTAAATTCCAAAATAATATATTTATAGAAATTTTTAACCATATCTCATTTATAGCCGACAATGATTAAAATACATTAAGCACGCGATAGTAATGGAATCTTTATGGGTTTATGCTAGATAATATAATAATAATTGTTTGTTTCCCACAAGGTCCATAATACATAACAGCTTTGAACCACATTACAGCTCAAAATACACATTATTTTCAAAGCTATAAGGAAATGCAATCAACTGTGTTTCATATACATTATAAAATTCCAATTTGTCAATGGAAAAACGTTGGCTACACAACTATAAGCGACAAGCTACAAACTATAAGCAACAGTTGATTAGCCTTGTGAAGCTTACGGTTACTGAACGAATCTTATCTTTCAAATTGTATAATTGAGTTTGCCGTCATGTGAAATATGGATTGTGCGAATAAATTTGTGAAAATGCATTTTTTTTATTCCCTTTCAGGGTATAATTTATAATTTGTCATTGAATTTTGGAGACATTTTTATATACTTGATCGGCGTAAATCGTCTCTCAGCTCAAACTCATAACGTTTTGGTAAAAAAGTAATGCATTTATTAAAATGAATAATTATTTTTAAACGTACATTAACTGTTCTTTTATGTTTAACTAACTTTTAATACATTTTTTGTTATTTGCTTATGCAAAATTTGGCAAAGCTTTTAAGGTTAAAAATTATGCAATTCCTTTAATTGTTGGGGTTATGATGATGACGACGGCGACGTCGACGCTGGATGGGAACATCATAGCCCGAATCGTCCGTATCGAGACTGTCCGTATCGAGACTGTCGCCCTGCTCCAAGTACTCTGGCTGTTTGTTACCAGGTGCAGCAGCATTTTCATCTTTAGGGCAATTCACCAGCTGTCCATTGGCGTCGACACAGTTTTCCGTTTCCAACACCCATCCATCATTAACACCACCGTCGTCCATGTCGCTGCTCGGCTCCTGTTCCTTATCATGATGCTGGCTCTCTGGTTGCGGCATATAATTATAGCCAAAATTGGGCATGGGTGCAAAGGGTGAATAAAATATGGGTGCTGGCATCATTGAAGAAGCATAGCCTTGAAAACAGCCGACGCATTCTGCCTGCAAGCCGTTCTGTAATATGTAGCCATAGGGCAACTGTAGGCAACGCTGACATGTGCCGCGTCTAAGACGACGGCCACCTCGATCCTGACCACCGCAGTTCACATAAGGCCAATTGTTCATGTAGCGACAAGGTGATGATTGCTGTTGTTGCTGGTTCTCCTGCCTCGATCTGTGACGACGTGGCACATACTCCACAGACTCGTGGCAATCATCGGATTGATCCTTCTTGCACATAACGATACGTTTGGCGATCATCACACGCGCCTGGCAACGCTCACCACAGACGCGTTGGCGGGAGTGCTCCTGACAGAGCGCCTTGTGCTCCTTGTTCTCCTCGTCACAACTGCGATCTCTACGCACCACATAACAACAGGAGCCCTGCTCATTGTAACCGAGTCCAAATCTTCCGCCCACCTGTGACACATTCTGATGCACCTTCACATTCACCTCGTTGCGGGCCTGAATGTCATTCTGAATCACATTGTTGATCTGGTTGGTCAGCCGTATGATGTTGGTAGTGTTGAGGGCAGGCTGAGCGGGTGCCACGTAAAGCGTATCGTTCACGCCCTGCACAAGCAGCGGCTCATCCGTTAGCTCTGGACACAGCGGACATTCTGATTCGCACTTTGGCTTGCCGGCACAGATTGCCATACAGTTGTCCCGATTCTCGTGGCACTCCTCGTAGTCGCGCAGCGATGGCTGCTCATAATTCTGCAGCGGTGTGTGCACCACAATCCGACCCTTACTGGCATCGCTGTCATCGCCATTAACCAACGATAAGCTTAAGGCCAGCAGAAGCACAGCCACGATGACGTTTACCTACAATTCATATTACATAAAATAAGAATCGACGGTTAGCAAATGTAATGAGCACTATATATATTTCTGAAACTCACCTTTATTTTCAGAGTGTTCGCCATCGAATGTGGAATGATTATAACTAGGTATATTTCCGGACAACTTTTATACTCGACTGCAGCCAAAAATGTGAATTTTTATTTTTTATTATACCCTGAAGCAATTTAAAATAGATAAAAAGGGTATGATGGTTTTATGCAAATGTTTGTAACAGGCAGAAGGAAACATCTTCGACCCCCTAGGGTTAATACATATTCTTGATCTGGATCAACAGCCGATTCGATTAGCGTTTGTATGAACGCGCCAACCTCAAAGAGAGAGAGAGAGAAAGAGAGAGACTAAAAGAGAGTTCAAAATTTGGAATATAAGTTCTAGTATAACCGACGTAGATCAAGTTTATTTCATTTTATGTATGTATATATCTTAAGATTGAGAATTAATATAGTCTTTAATGAAAATTTGAAAAACTTTTCGATTTACTTAAGGTATTTCGTATTCGAGTCTTCTCGACTAGCATTCCTATGTTTTCACATACAATTGATTAGATAGCTGACTTATCTTATGGTATTGATTGCGCTACACTTATCAGTTTTTGAGCGTGAGTGTAGTGAAAATACCTTATTGAGAACCATTCAAACATCAAAGATCAAATATTATGTCGTAAATGTTAATGCTTAATGGCACAATTATTGAAGTTTGTTTGTTAAATACTTAACTTAAAAGTCGACGGTGTTTTGCATTTAATTTAATAAAGAATTTATTAGTCCCACGGAAAAAAATTTGGTAAGTTTGTAGTGGTATTTTAGAGAACTCATTGCAAAACTTTCTCCGCTCAGAGAGTAATATCGTCGGAACCAAAGGTATTAACAATATTCATAGATTATGGCATGCGGCATATAGCAAAATGTGACACAAGCAATCCGGAATTTTTCAAAGTCAAAATGATCATGAACACGTCATAGCCGGTGATTTATCAATGGAGTGCTTCAAAAAATGCAAATGTTTATCACAGGCAGACGTATCAATGTTATGTGTCATAGAGCTTTGAAAGCTTTTACTAACAAATTCCTTATGCTAACATATAGTAAACCAGTTCTCTCTCAGCACTCCCAATTCAAAATTTCTAATATTAAGTAATAATAAGATAGACATTCGTAAGTGAAAATAATTGATACCGTTTCAAAACTGGAAATTTGTATCCCGTCCTTAGATCTTATAAATTTGTCCCACCCGACTTATTGAAGAATTGAATTTAAATAGTATTAGTAATGTAATATAAATTAGTATATCTAACGCAATTTGTTCTTTTCCCAATCTACAAATTTAGACAACAAATTTGTATGTTAAAATTTCCAAGCATTTTTTTAAATTTGTCTTATTATTTATTTTTTTCTTGTCGTTATTATTTCGCGCTTCTAGAAAGTGTAACCATATTTAGTAAACTTAAAATTGCTACAATTCACAATGTTAACTCAGATCGGCGTTCGTACAATAATACTAAGCCTTTAATTGCCTTATTTCATTTTTTTTGTTTGTAGAAAAATTAATATTGTCTGCAATGTTTTATAAAATATAAAATTGGGTGCATATAATCAGAACAAGAATTAAATTAAATGATCAAATTAATTTAAACAATTATACACCCACGACACACACATTTTTTGACTTAATGAAATCTAATTAAATGGGAAAATTGAATTAATTTTTTATTTGATACTGATACTTACAAAAATTCGAATTAAATGATTAAACAAGTTTGAATTTTAATGAAATTTAGTATTCGCTATTGTTGAATGATGTCTTCAAAATCATCTCCCATCTTTTCTCATCCATCTTTTGTCTCAAAGAGGTAGATGCTCTATCGACCCCAGCCATCCTCCCTGCGGCAACCGACAGAGCCCGCAAATTGTTGCGAACTGCAAAATTGCTCTTGGTCGTAGAATGCGCAGTTAGGACTAATGCAGCGATAATTGTAGCAATAAGGGGAACAGGATACCATCTGGCCCGAAGCACAGCCGCTGCAGTCATACCTCTCTATAAGGTATAACAAAATATAAGATTCATACGCAAATCTACCCAGATTCTCAAATAGATATTGAGTTACCTGCTGTTTGGCCACAGTTGCCTCTCTGTTGGCATCCGGAGTTAAAATTGGGCGGCATAATCAGCATTTCATTATTGTCATCGTTCCAGGTGTTCACTGTTGGCGGTTTTAGCGCCATTTTGGGGGCGCTGCAGAAATTGCCACAAATCTGCTGCTTTTTATTGTAGCATTGCCAGCGAATACTTTCCGTAGAACAGCGACAGATGCGTGGACCGATCACAGTGCAGCATTTAAGTGGATTAGGTGTTTTCTCCTCCTTCTCCTCCTCCTCCTCTTCCTCTTCGTAATCCCTGTAGTCTGTTGGCAGCGTGATTGAGGCATTGACAACCAGATTATGCACATTATTTAGAACAAAATTGGGTTTTTTCTCCAAATTCTGATTGATGATCGTTCGATTTAGATAAATGGGAGCCAGCTCAATGGGATCGGGTGGTGCACATTTCTGACCAGTCCAATAAGTGCCATGTGGGCATCGAGTCTCCACACAGCGTCCATTTTCGAAAATCCTTGACCGGCAATAGACCAGACGACAGTTGCCATTGATGAGGACGGTTCCATTGGGGCAACGACGAATTTGAGCAGGTGCGGGCGTGGTAGATGGCGCTATAGTCGTTGAAGTCGTTGGTTGAGTGGTGGATAGGATGGGAGGTTGGGTGGAGGTTTGAGTGGGTCTTGGGGTTGCCACAGGCACATTTGGATTACACAGTTGAGGTTCAACTGGAGGATAAGGAGAAACAGGTTGATTTGGACAAGGTGCTGGTTGAGAAGGAACTGGGGGATAAGGAGTTACAGGTTGATTTGGACAAGGTGCTGGTTGAGATGGAACTGGAGGATAAGGAGAAACAGGTTGATTTGGACAAGGTGCTGGTTGAGAAGGAACTGGGGGATAAGGAGTTACAGGTTGATTTGGACAAGGTGCTGGTTGAGATGGAACTGGAGGATAAGGAGAAACAGGTTGATTTGGACAAGGTGCTGGTTGAGAAGGAACTGGGGGATAAGGAGTTACAGGTTGATTTGGACAAGGTGCTGGTTGAGAAGGAACTGGGGGATAAGGAGTTACAGGTTGATTTGGACAAGGTGCTGGTTGAGATGGAACTAGAGGATAAGGAGAAACAGGTTGATTTGGACAAGGGGTAGCCTGAGAAGGAACTGGTGGATAAGGAGTTACAGGTTGGTTTGGACAAGGTGCTGATTGAGATGGAACTGGAGGATAGGGAGTAACAGGTTGATTTGGACAAGGTGCTGGGTGAGATGGAACTAAACTATTTGGGTTCGTAGGGAGTTGAGGATAGGATGTTATAGGTTGCTTTGGACAAGGAGTAATTGGGACACACGGTACAGGCTGATGCGGCCAAGGTGAAGGCAGGCCTTGTACGGGAACACATGGCTGTAGGCTATTTATGCTGTTTTGTGCTAATAAACAAGAAATATTAAACATATTTATTTATATAATGAGAGCATTAATAAGACACAAAATTTCACTCACGATTTGCACTCGGCGCTGCAGCTGGCAGGAAATAGATCCCACTTTGGAGAAGGCATGGAGCAGAGATTGCCTGCACGCATGGAACACTGACGTCACCGACGGCACTCTGCGGAGATTGGGCGTTGGCCAGCTTTAGGGCCAAGAGAAGCCAAGGCAACAGCAGCAGCATTACTTGATAGACGAACATGTCGATTATCAATGAAGCTGTTGAGTCTTTCAAGACTAGTGAGGCTGTCAATCGAACGTCGGAAGTCGCACATCGTTTTGCCGGATGCAAACCTATTCGACTTGAACACTATTTTTAGAAAAGGTTATCAGTGCTGGAACAATTATGATTTTGATTGTCACTGCAAAAGCTTCGTCAGGCGCCGCATTCGATTAGTCGTCGCTTGAGCTCAGTTGTTGAATGAACATCGCCTTTGATCGGATCGTAAGGCAGAATTACTTGTAATGTTGTCTTCTTCGCACTTCTCAATTATTGTGATATACTTTTGTGCGATTTGGTCGAGCGTTCGCGATGTGGCAGGTTATCAAGATGCGTATGGCAATGTAATCACTCTTGAGCAACAACAGAATATGCCCACACGTTTGACAAACAAATTAATTTTACAATATTTATAGTGGCTGGAGTGTCCGGAAGGCTATAAGCTCCAGAATAACATGTGCCACAGAAAGAATATGTGCCAGGAAGGTAATCTATACGTATGCTCAAATGGATCAAATTAATGTGATTCGATTTCTTAAATGCCTCAAGCAATTACGCAATAATTTTTTTTTTTTTTGTCGTTTGAGTAAATATGCAACATCTTCAATGTTCTGCCCATCTGTCTCAGTTTTAAATCATACCCCCATACTGTCATTAAAACTATTGGTTTAGTTTTTGTATAAAAAATACCAACTACGCAAACTTCATCGAGTGTATTATATACATTTTAAACCGGACAGATTTTATTTTTAGACACCCATCTAAAAAAAAAATCTTTAATCTATAGCGTGACAAAGAAAGCAGTTCATTGTTGTCGTTATTATCTCTCAATAAATAATTTGAAAATCACAATGAAAAGTACAAAAATAAATATTAATATTAAGTATAAAAATTGTGTTAGGTTAGGTAATGCATTAGGAAACACATTTTCTATTATTTTATATATATGTTGTTGTTGACAATCATTTTTTTTTTTTTTTTTTTTTGTTTCTAGGATACTTTCTGCACACGGATGGGTTTTGCTATTTGATAGAACCATTACCCTGTCCTTACAATACCACAGTACCTACCACAACAACAGATGAAATAACCACTGAAGAAACGACTACTGAAGAAATAACCCCTGAAGAAACAACCACGGAGGAAACAACCATAGAACCACCAAGTGATGATGCCGATGAGCAGGTTCGCTGTCCTCCCGGATCTGTATACTTTGACGAACAGTGCCGCCGAATAATCTGCAGCCGGGGTGAATACCATGCTGGTCGTTGCCTCTCGCCTGCCTGCCCCCATGGAACCGTGTGGCGCAACAAAAGTTGCCAGCCATCGGGCTATATAACCACAATACTGGAAATCGATAATGTGATCAAGAACAAACATAAGTATAAAAACGCAACAGAGAATGTGAGTCATGTGGAATATGTGACTCCTAAGCCATACGAGCCGAATCGGGACAACAGTTTTGAGACGACGACGTGGTGGACTCGTCCACAACCGGAACTAACAATTCCAACAACGACGCCAGCGTATTCGAGTGCAGATCCTTCATCCGGATGTTGTTTGGTGAGGAGTCCACGTTTCTGTCGTCCCTATGCACCCACCTGGATATGTTTCAATCACAGCCATAGGCTGTGCGATAAACGAATCTGTACACATCCCGTAATCTACCTGAAGCCACCCGAAATTGTTCAACTAACCGATCCACCGCTGCTAGTGATGCCGCCGAACCCACCATTATCCAGTTGCCTAACTCCCGATTGCCACGAGAGCGGTAAATTATAACCAATCAATCAATCATTGGATTGGCTTCATCAGATAATTATATTATTTTTAGAGATGATCAACTGCTCGGGCTGTGCGCAGGGCTTGAGGGAAACCTGCTCGTCGTCCTGCTACAATTACTTTTGTCCCGGCGACGCTTGTGAATTCAAAAAATCTGAGGAATTTTGTGAACTTTATCCGGGCGGTTTTGGATGCAAGAAAAGCGATGGTTGCATCTGGAAATGGTGCAATGGCAAATGCCGTTAGTGTATCTATTGGTGAATTTATACAAATCCACTCTTATACCATATGCCAAGATTCTTAAATATGAAATACATATTAAAATTAATGTGGAATGTAAGTTCATTTATGGAATTTTCGAATAGCCGGTCAAAGCCAAAGCAGTTAAACCCGGTCAAACCATCAAATATTTACTTTAAAAATTGTTTTTTTTTTTTGTATTTTGTATAATTATTCAAAATATATCAAAATGGGCTAAAATTTATATCAAATTTATGAAAACATTTTTGTATTTCTTCTTCAAAAACCCCAGTAACATCGGTTTAATTATCGAATACTAAAACAACACATTATATATTTCAGGCACAGAACATAATATTTTCAGAAATTCAAAAATTTTGAGAGTTAAAATAATCACTCATCTTAAAATATACGCGCCAATAAGATGTGTGTTGCCACCCGGTTGAAAATACTTTTTCAATTCAAATGTTGTACAACGTACACGATTTGACGACAACACTGTTGCTGGTATGCACTCTTCGCACTAAAGTCAAGCACTTGGCAGCACTGTTGTACGAAAAATCAGCTGGCCGTGGCTTGCCCGTTTCAACGGTGCTTTTCTCATTTCGGTTTCAGTCGTTAAACGAGAGAGCAAGAGTATCGACTTGCATTTGTTTGAATAGCGCGCGCGCGTCTTTAGTGTGTACCAAAGTGTTAAAACACAGAATTTGTTTGTGAATCGAAGTAAAGTGTGTGTGCGCAAATACAAAAAAAAAAAAACAAAAAACAAAAACAAACGAAAAGTAAGGTAACGGTCGTTTTGCTCTTCGTCGAGAGGGGCGGCAAATAGCATAAAGTTCAGTTCAAAACACACAAACCGCAGTCGCCGTTACAGTTGCATTCTCAACTCTCGCTTGTCGGCAGTCGTCATTCGGTGTGTTTTATTTGTTGTTTTGCTTTTAGAGTCAGTGCAGGCGTCGCGCGCGTTCCCTTTGGAGGTGCCAATAACAAGAGGTAGAGTTTTGTTTACATGCGTGTGTGAGTGTGTTATATATATATATGTGCGAGGGAGTGTGCATGCGTATGTGTTTCGCACATTTCATTGCACGTTTTGCAGCACACCAAACACAATAAGAACAACAATAATAACAACAACAGCAAGAATAATGTCAGCAACTATGACGACAATAAGCGTAAATGCGATATTTAATTAATTAAAAAATACGTTCCAAGCGAATCTTTTACAACATCAACAAATATATAAAAATAGCAATTGCGCCAATATACAACTTAATATCTATTTGTATATATATATGTGTGTTTGTGTGAGCATTTATGTACGCGTGTATATGCATATTATGATGTACAATTGCAGCAAATAAATTCTCAACTTGTCTTCTCTCTCTATCTCTCTCTCGCTCTCTCTTTAGCGGCGAGTGTTAATTGAAAAAAAACTACAAACTTCCGGTTTTTGGGGAAAAAGGGTTGCTCTTTCCCTGCCCCCTCTTCAACCAATCAGTGATGTATGCTTGTGTGTGTACATACATCTATATAACTGTTGCCGTTGCCGTAGACAACATGAGCTTTATTGCGGCGGCGGCCAAACTCAACATAGCAAAGCAAGCAAAAAAAATAAATAACCACACCTCGCAACTCCCGCAAAGGGCTCTTAGAACGAGTGGGTGTATATGTGTGAGTGAAGTGGAGCCGTGGAGAAATTTTGTGCTTTCCGCTGTGAGTTGCTGTTGCTATATGCTATATGCCATCATCATCATCATGCGGGCGTTGAAGTTTTTAGTGCAACAACATTTTTTCTATGTTTTTGCTTGTATATATATATATATATATATATATATATATATATAGTTTTTTTTTGCTGCTCCAGCGGGAGCTTTTATATTGTATGTGTGTGCTATTATTAAAATGCCACACGCACACACACACACACATATGCACACGTGCACTAACTCTGAGGCACACAGTCATGGCAAAAAAAAAACAAAAAAGAAAACTATTCTCAGTGTATGTGTGTGTGTGCCTGCGAGGCGTTGGCGTTTTACGCTAGAAGAAGCAGCAGCAGCCGCTAGAGAGAAAGAGAAAGAGATAGAGAGAGAGAGAGAGACAAAAGAGAGTGAGTTCGAGTGAGGACAGACTGTGCATAAAGGGGAAGCCGCAAGAGCAACAAGAAGTTAATAAATAAATCAAATAAAGCATAAAAATGTAAATCGAGACAACAACAACTGCAATAACAACCAAGTCGAATGCCGGAGAATCTCTCAATAAGAGAATTTAAATGAACCCGTGACCCTCCCGCACTCACCTCCCCCATCCATTTCCCTCAGCAAGGCAGCCTTAAGTCCTGCACTTGTTAAACATAAACGCAGCCGCACATTTGCCTGGTGCGTCCCAATGTTGTTTTTGCTGTTTGTTAGTATTGTAATAAAGCGTTTTACGGCCGCCGCTTGTTGTTTTTATGACAGTTAAGCTATTTTGCGTATGACATGTTTGACAGATGCCAGCTTCGTCGTCGCTGCGGCTGTCAACACCGCTGTTTAATGCAGCCTTTGCCCGTACCGTTTCTACCCTACCTCCCACACACACATACACACACACACCACATACTTGCACACATCTTGCTACACTCGGAAAAAACATCTGATCTAGAATTGACTTCTACAAAAGCAGCTCGACTATTTTTCTTTGAAATTCAACATAGAAATGCATTATTTGTTTAGCTTTTAATACCAATTGGTATATTGGTAATTGGTATATAAGATTGATTTTTTCTAATGGATTTGCATTTTCACTTTTCAAAAATATGTGCTTTCAATATAGAAAGTTGTTCTGGAAAATGTAAATTAAATATATAAAATATTCAAGAAAATATATGTGACAAAAATAAATATGAAATCCAAATTATACTGGCCTTAGGGTGTATTGTTTTTTGCTGAGTGTATTTCATTTATTCACCCTTTTATGTTGCTGTGCGCGCAAAAGTTTGTTTGTGTTTGCTGCCGTTTTAATTTCTGTGCCTATTAGCCATACACACACTAACACACAGAAACACAATCCAAAGGGGGAGAGAGGGGCTAAGAAGCTACTTTTACGCATGTTTTCGCACAGCGCCAAAGATGTCGGCTTGACATAAATTGTCTCTGCCAAATGTGGCAAACTACAACACCAAAACTGGGCCACGCCTACAAAAAAAAAGAAGTAAAACCATAAGAAACCAACAGCCGCTTGCTTGGCTTGTCGCATGTAATTGCTTGCTACAATGTAAATGACAAAAGCATGCGGCACAGTGGGGCAAACCAGTATCCATATTACATCGTCAGCAAACGCAGTATGGCCTTGCAGAAAATTAAATTGGAACACATTTAATCATCATGTTCATTCTACAGAATTATACTGCTGATTACTGTTTATTTTTCAGAACTCAATCAAAGAAATATTCAGAACTTTTGTGATCCACTGTGCCTAAGCAAGTTGGCGGCCTGTAACTAAAAACCGCAAAAGCTTGTCAAGCCGCTGCCCGTCGACGTCGACGTTGTCGTTGACTTCGTCACCACAGCCGTTGTCGCTCTCACGCCAATCTCGCTGCCAATGGCTCCGCGACTCTCCGTTCTCCGCTCTTCGTTCTCCACTCTCCACTCTCTTGTGTCCGTCGGCTTTCAAAGCTGTTGCTTCCGCTCCCTTGGCTTGGCCTGAGTGTAAAAGTATCTCTTTGTTGTTTTGCTTGTTATTGTTGTTGTTACTTTAGACGTGGGCGGCAACGCAGTCGTCGCCTCGACAGAAACCTTAGGCCAAGTTTCAAGCTTGAAATGCTTTGGCGATGACGTCGTCATCAGCGTCGTCGTCGTCGTCGTCAATCAAATTTAGCGTTCTCAGCACTGTTCGCCGCAGCGCATTTGGTTGCATGTGCTTTGATTTTGGTTTTGGTATTGGATTTTAGTTTTCGTTTGTGTTTTGTGTTTTGTTGTGCGACTTTTGTCGACCACGCCCCCACACCCGCCACTGCCACCTAGCTCACAATCTGGCAATCGCACTCTCATTCGCACATTCACAGTGCAAATTGATAGGGTAAACAAACAAACATGCAAACATTTTGCGGTATGTATTTACGTATCGAATATCGCTTGGATTTGCCGTCCATTTATTTATTTATAATTTTATACACTGTTCGCCAAAACGGATACGGAAGGTACGGACTACACAGCACAGAAATAAAATAAAAACCATTTAATAATTTTCATAAAAATAATTCTTTAAAGTTTCTTCAGAATATGACAAATTATGCTAAAAATCGAGTAAACTGCGATTTAATATTTGTTTGTGTAGAGGCTGGCCAAATTTGGACTGTTCGATTTTGATTAATTACCCATAATGTGGCTACGCCCAGTTTGGGTCTCTTGATTAGTTAAAACATTCGGAGCAGAGTATCGTACAGTCGTAAGGTGTCCACTGCAACGCTGTTACTCTGTTCTGTTCTTCTTCTTCGATTGTTTTCTCGTCCGCCGTTGGCCATTTAATATTCATTTATTCATCCCAGCTTACGTATTTATTTATTTTTTTTTTACTTGTGCGTGTGTATTTGTTGCTATTATTGCTATTGGCTTATGTGTGTTTACTGTGCGGCCAAAAGCCGTAATCGTGAAATCGCATGTGAGCCATGGCCATGATTTTGAATTTAATTTCGGACTTGAAATCGAATTTGAATTCAAGTGGCAAACATCACCAAAAACCACTCGTAAAAGATACTTGGCACCTATTCCGATAACCTTATAGGGCTAACTAACAGTATTTCTATAGGCGGCTTGATATTGTTTTAAATGGCATAAGTAGGAAAATGGTTTTGCTAATGGGTCTACTATTAGCCAAAAGTCCAAATAAATATTTAGAATCTATTAAATTTGTGTATCGTATCTGTATACGCAAGTGTCACAGTTTAACTGTAAATAGACATAAATTACCAAATAAAATTTGATTCTATTATCTGTGCGACTATTATATTTATTTCTTTGTACAAATACGTAAATGTTCATGTTCAACTGTCTGAAAATCAAAAAAAAAAAAATACTGAATGATTTTGTAATATAGTTAAAAAGTTCGGCAAATGCAAATTTCTACAATAATAAAGCACAAAGTAAATATTATTTTTGAAAAAAAAAATCAACTTACAAAGCGTCCATTAAAAGCTATTTAAAAAGTTCAACTTTGTTATTCGCAAAATAATTACATGAGAAACTTTCTAAATTTGTAAAATGTTATCGAATGTACAGAATGGGTCAGAGCCTCAGTAACTTTTAACAAACAATCAATTAAATTAAATATACAGCTCTCATACATAAACAGAGAATGTTGCATTGAAAAGTAAAAATCTTTCAGGTCTTATTATTTTTCTTCTTTTTTTTTGCTTCACTGTAGCTTAAAGCTAATTAATTGAGGGACACAGAGCATACAGCTTAGAATAAGCTCATAAACAGCAACTGGTTTATCAGCTGATTTAAATATGTATTTAAATTAACGTCTATGAACTGTGCTCATTATGGGCTTTTAAATATTTTGAGAGGCTGTGGCGCAAACGATGCCAATGGGACGCATAAAAGATACGCGGCGACTCCAAAACAGAACAACGCAACGTAAAATGTTTTTGCAGTCCAAATCCAAAACAAACGCCCCCCTTTCTTTCCTCATCACCGCTCAGTCTTTGACTATTGAAAAGTTTTCGAACTCATAAATTCTTTTGTTTGTGCACTTTGCTACGCTGCTGTTTGGCTTTAATTTTCTTTTGCGGCCAGCAGCAGCATAAAAACAAAAGAGAGTGAATAAAAAAAAAAAGTGAAAATTCAGTGGGAAAATTGTCGTTTGTTGCGCTGCTGCGATTACAGCACGAACAGCAGCAGCAGCAACAGCCTGAAAACTAATTAGTTGCAGTTGCAGTTGAACCAACTGAAGCTGAATTTTACATTTTTAAAATTGCAGTGTGTAGATTGAGTCGACTGATTGAGTAAGAC